GAGAGACCATGGGTCTTATTAGATACTGATGGTGCATATACTTTGATTTCATTGTTCTGTGCTTTTGTAATCGTTTTGTGCTAGATAACCTAATAACCCAAACAACAGAATAACAGAGTTGGAAGGGACCTTGGAGGTCTTCTAGTCCAAACCCCTGGCTCAGGCAGGAAACTCATTTCAGACAAATGATTGTCCAATCTCTTCTTTAAAACCTCCAGTATTGGAATACTCACAAGGCAAAACCGTAGTGTGCTTTATAAAAGGAAAAAGAAATGACCACCCAAAATCTGAGCAACATTTGGCCTTCCAGCTTCATTTGTTTTGTTTCAGTGATGTTAACATGGAAAATATAAGTCACAATCCCTGGTCAGCGTTTCTTAGAGGGTCATTTAAAGCAGTGCAATCCAGTCCTTGACAACGCCAAATTATTTCCCGAATGCACATGGGTGATTTGACAGTATAGTTCCTAAGTGCCATATAGTGTTACCAGTTCTTAAATTCACTCAATGTTGTTGTAACTGAAAAACAGGAAAGGACTCCAGGACTGCACTAAATACACTATTGAAAATGTGTCACATTATCAATGTGTCACATGCTATAAAATAGATATCTTTTTCTTTGTGTATTTAACGATCAATACTCTGGGTGAGTTTTAGAAGACCTGAAACTGAATCATTTCTTTGTAATATACCATGTTTGCATCCAAATGTCGACTTCAGAAATTTCTGGAATGCATGCAACTGACATTTAAGCAAAAATCATCTATCTGCACGTAGGTAGGTAGGAAGGAATGCTGTCTGGTTGGTGTGTTCAACCTGGTATAGTTGGAATTATTGGTTCTGGGCAGGCATGTTTACTAACCCTGCCTGGATTTTGAACTGAAAATTTACATTGCAATCACGTTTCTTATTACAGTGCACAGATTTTCTAATGCAGACTGTAAAATATTACTTAAAAGTTTTGCTTGGCTCCAAAGGTAATTTATGTTGCTAATAGTTACAAACTATTTTGTCATTGCTCAGTTGGAGGCCAAGGTTAAAGTCCATGACAAGTTTCATGATATAGTGCTGATGTACTAGTAGTCCTTGACTTACGACCACAATTGAGTCCAGAATTTATGTTGCTAAATGAAAAATTCGTTAAGTGAGTTTTGACCCATTTTAGGACTTTTCTTGTCACATTTTTTAAGTGAATCACTGCAGTTGTTAAATTAATAACATCGTTGTTAAGCAAGTCTGTCCTCCCCATTGGCTTGTCAGAAGGTTGCAACATGGGGCTCCCCCTGGGGTGCACCCGGAGGCTCCAGCTGGTCCAGAACGCAGCCACGCGGGGGATTATGGGGGCGACGAGGCGCTCCCATGTGACACCTCTCCTGCGCGAGCTGCACTGGCTCCCAGTGGTCTTCCGGGTGCGCTTCAAGGTGTTGGTGACCACCTTTAAAGTGCTCCATGGCTCAGGGCCGGGGTATTTACGAGACCGCCTTCTACCACCAATAGCCTCCCACCGGCCAGTACGCTTACACAGACAATGTCGGCTGGCGACCCCCAGGGGGAGAGCCTTCTCTGTGGCGGCGTCCTCCCTCTGGAACAACCTCCCCCCAGAGATACGTACAATAACAGACCTCCGGATTTTTCGTCAGGCCCTGAAAACCCATTTATTCCAACTAGCTGGGCTGGCTTGAGTTAAATTTTAAACTGATTTTAAATTGGAATTGTTTTAATTACGGCCAAAATACTTTAATTATTTTAAACAGTTTTTAGATTTTGTATGTCTTGTTTTTACTTTGGCTGTTCACCGCCCTGAGTCCTATATTGGAGAAGGGCGGTATAGAAATTTAAACAAACAAACAAACAAATAAATAAATAAATAAATAAATAAATAAATAAATAAAAGATGGGACACATGACCCCAGGACACTGCAACCATCATAAATATGAATCAATTGTCAAACATCCAAATGTAAATCACGTGACCATGGGATGCTGCAACGGTCACTAAGTGTGAATGGTCATAAGTCACTTTTTTCAGTACCTTTGTAACTTTGAACAGTCACTAAATGAACTGTTGTAAGTTGAGGACTATCTGTACTGCACTCTTTCTCAATAATTTAGGACTTCTAAATATCAGTACTATAAACCTTGATTTGATAATGATTGCTACTATTGATTTGTTCTTCGTATTTAACCCAAAAACATTAGAAAAGCAAGAGTGATCAAATAACAAATTGCAGTTCCATTAGCGAAACAATATATTAAGTGAACTGAGTATAAATATGCTAATCCAGATATGTAGAATAGAATATGCTATAGAAATTAAATACAAACCTATATAAACTGAGGATATCAAGTTATTTATTTTGTGTATCCAGATAGTAAAGAAACCAACTTTGATAGGAAAACCAAATTGCCCAGTATTTTCACTGAAGACACCGATTGCTTGCACCCTGAGGTAAATGTCTCCTTGAATCCTTTTCAAAATTGACTTTTGTCATAGTGTCTTTTGTTCTTGGTTTTGTAGTTTGTTCAACACTGACATGTAAAACACTTCTAATAATTCATAATAAAATTCATGTGCTACAAAACTTTTCCATAGCTTGTTTGCCACACAGCCCATTCTGTTTAAAAAAGGCTCTCACTCATCTGGAGAACTGAAGTCGTAGACTGCAGGGGAAGGGAGAATCTGATGTCATAATGCTTTTTCACTTAAGAAATTTGTTAATGGGATGACATTATAGTACAGTTCATTCATTCCATCTTAAATGTACCTGAGCTCATCTCCATTACTCTATCAAAATTCAATTCCCAGCCTCCTGCACAGGAAATAATTGTTCATATGATATTGTGAATCTGCTTGCAAAGTCTACAATGACGAGACGAACACACATCTTGCTTTAAAGTGGCTTTATCCTTTTTTCAGGTAATAATTTTTTTAACTTGTATGCTAGCAGACTCTGGGTGGCTCTATCAAATAAATTACAATGAAAATCAATAAAAGAAAACAAAGAAAAAGAAAGTGCAATGAAGTGATAACTAGATGAAGCAATTTGGAAGAACCAAGCAATGTACTGTAAATCAATAAATCTGTATAAATTGAAGAGGATCAAGTTTATTTTTGTTTGATTCTTCCATGTAAAAATGTTCAAAGAAGGAATCAGAATTCTAAGAATTCTAGAATTAGCATCTATCATAGCAACTTGGTGGGGGGGGAATGGAAGGAAAGAATGATTTGGGAATTATATGTTATGTACTTGATTAGATTGCATGAGTTGCTAGTGCCATCTATCCAATATTATTTGCACTTCCTCAAACATAAATATTAAAACTGAGAGCAGCTCTAATACTTCACAGAAGAAGTGAAGATTATGTTTCAAAGACAAAAACTAGTGAATGTAAAGCTCTTCATGTGAATTTAAGAATTCCATTTTCAAAAATATACGCTCCTGGGTTTTTCCCATGTCTAACTTAAACAGGTGCAAATTTCCACATCTGCTTATTCTTGCTAATCACTTGTCTGCATAATACCTCAATAAATCTAGCTGCAGTGGGAGAAAGCATACAAAAACAGTCTCTGCAGGCATTAAATACATACATTCATTGTGAAGCCAGCAATGGAAATAAGGTAGATAAGGTAGATTACTTTCACCATTCTGTTCAGTAAAAGCTGAAATTTACGTACTAAATTTTTAGTACGTATTTTAAGTTCAACTGAAGCCACTCCAAAAGCACTTTAAAAAAACAACTAAGTATTTGGAATTATTTGCAAATTATGTCCTGATCAATTTTGTTCCAGAAAATTGTTGTCTGGAAAATAAATTTGATCACAAGATTTTTTTTTAAAGTGAACACACAGGCTTTCATTATCACTAGGAAAAGTCTTATTTTTCAATAAATTGTGTAATTAACTTGTTTTCTCTTTTCTACTCACTACTTAAAAGTTGCATTAAACAATACCACTGGGCCCCCCATGATGCTAATATCATATAAGTCTACATTTAAATTTAACGATACATTGAGTAACTTTGATTTTCTTAAAATGGCATCATGGGAGTGTATCAATTGTAACAGTTCTAATTCTGTTGTGACTCACCTTTCCTACTCACTGTGATAATTGATGAATGCTTATTGCACACTTGAGAAAACCGAGATGATACATTTTTGTATTTATATGCAAATAGGAATATATGCTGCTCGCCTATTCAGTCCAATTGTTTCCAACTTATCCATATGAATACTGCAATTGTGGATGTCAAAGCCGTTTTAAAAGTTTAAAGTTTGAAATTTTGTGGCTCTCATAATACTGGAATTTGGACACCTGTTGTCCCTACAGGGGATGCAAAAGCGCAGCTGTTAAAGACGCTGAGCTTGTCAGCTGGAAAACTGACAGCTCAGGTTTGAGACCTGAATTCTACTGTGTGATGAAGTGAGCTCCTGTTCCTGCCCCAGCTCCTGCAAACCTAGCAGTTTGAAAGCATGTGATTAGATAAACAGGTACCACTTTGGAAGGTAACATGTGTTTCATATGCCTCAGTATACAGTCATGCTGGTCACATGACAGTGGAAATGTTGGCTCTCGCAGCTAAGAAATGGAGATGAGCACTGCCCCCTAATCTTGGACATGACTGGACAGGAGAAACCTTCACCTTTTTGTCCCTTACATCGTCATGAACAATGTTATTGAATCTCAGTTCATGGAAGATTTGTGAAAGTTTTAAATGGCCATGTAGTCATCCATACTAAGGCAAAGGTCTAGTGATGCTATAGCCTATACTATATATAGCCTACTATACTCCATAAGCTTTGGTGGACCATGACTTGTTTTGTCAAAATACACAAAAACACCTTTCATGTAGTAATACATTTGTTAGCTTTTAAGTTGCCAGAGGGTTTAATCCAGCCATCAATCCCTCTGGAAAACTCGATAAATTAATGAGCTGCTAGCTTAACTGCCCCTCTGCAGAAAGTTATTTCTTTGAGCACGCCAAGATACATACTGGTTTTGGATCATGTTCAATGCATTTATTTCAGAAGACTGCATGGAATAAAAAACATTACCACAAGGCTGGACACTTTTTGTCCGAGGTGATGAAGTGTACTGGAGAGATTAATATTCCTATGGAAACACCTTCAAACAGATAATTGAGATTGCATCTGATTCAATGAAATGAAATGAAATAAATATTCCTTCTATCAGTTTCTATTTGCATTTCCACAAAAATACATTCAGCTAAACATGGCATATAGAAGCAAGAAACCAGTAAATGACAGTAGAGGGTGTCATTTGCAAATTTGATGCCCCTCTGCAAATCATTATTCCACACCAATATACATACTTCCAATAAACTTTTCACTTTTTGCCAGATATAAAATTACTTTGTCCTCTTTACAAATGCACCATTTTCAAACTACTGGAGCTAATAACACGTGTGGATTAAGCAGTAAACTTCAGAACATAATTTACTTAACCATATGTTAAATTTGTGCTAAAACATTCCACCTACAAAAAATGACAGAAATAACCTGTCTATGGGAGGTGCTTCTGTACAGGAAGACTTTCAATTTAATGTACTATTTACACCGCTTTTTTAAAGGTTACTTATAGGTCCTTTATAAAACAAGAAACATTTTATATATTATACAAGATGGGAAATGGATTTTGTAACCCAGATGTTAAATAACATGAGCACGTGAATATCTATAGAAAAGCCTAACTCTTCATAGTTAGAGTCAACATTACTGTCAGAATGGAACCATGATTTCCACAGGACACCCGTGTTTTTGCCAGACATACTGCTACATAAGTGCATAATATAAATCAACACATTAAACCTCAATCCTTTTTTGGCTTTTAACTGTACATGAACACTTTGTGCTTATTTTGACTGTGCAGCTTAATATGTGTTGCTTGATATATATATATATATATATATATAAATAGAGAGAGAGAGAGAGAGAAACAGAGAGAAAGAGGGAATGGGGAGAAGGAGAGAGACATATTTTAAATACTTCAATAAAACTATGAAATTAAACCATGTCCTAAAATTTGGGATATTGAGCAGCTGAGGGGGTGAATTGCACCTTTTATTGAAACTGTGGCATCTCGTAGGAAGAAAATACTTCATATTTTTAATACTGAATCAATAAAAATAGCAAATCTGATCTGTTGGTAACCATGTGTAAACACCCTTGACTTGACAAGACACTAATGAGGTGCTACCCTTCATCCATTGTGAATTTTAGGAATAACAGAACTAAAAGATTAGTCCCTTTTCCTGGAGAAACTCAAGCTCCATGGTATCTGTTTGTCTCTAAACAGTCACAGTCAGACTGGGACTCTTCTTAATTTGGCCCCTTTAAATGGGCAGCTGTCAAGTGACTTGAGAGGCCTGATCACTTACAACATGTAGCAAAAAGGATTAGAAGTCTTATTCATTTCTATTGCAGCTTGCTGGATTTGGGGGAGCATATGCCAAATGTGATTGGAGAGATCCAAGCAGTGCATGTATTTGCCTATTTGTACAGATTGGTTTCCCCTTGAATGATGATGCAAAAATAACATGAACAACAGCAAAATTCAATCTTGCAAGTAGGACTGGCCCCACTTGCCAGGATGTAGGATGTTTTCAAATCCTGCAAAATGAATTCAGTCCAATAGCTGAGTTGCCTTCATTCAAACATTTCATAATGACGTGTTTGCCGTATACGGGGAACCATATCCATAAGCAGCCTGAAAATAAAAGCAAGCCCAGATCAAGGGCAACAGTTATACATTGCAAAGATCAGCCATAAATTTCTGCATTCTCCTAATTAGTAGTTGTCTATCCCCAAAACAGGAAATTAATGAGAGGTCTTTAGTGCTCTCTGAGCTTGGTTTCTTTTCATACAGACATTTCATTACCCAACTAGGCAACATCATCAATTTTGTTACATTAATATCCATTATCCAACTTGGTAATATCATCTCTCTTTTTTAATTATTATTTTATAACATATAAAAATTCCATTTTCAATTAAACAGTGCGTTGTCTGGGTACAAAAAATTTTAGGAAATAATAATCAAAGTGTTTACAACCAAAATGTTCATTGCATGGTTCATTAATTGAAGAAGAAGAAGGAGAGGAGGAGGAGGAGGAGGAGGAGGAGGAGGAGGAGGAGGAGGAGGAGAAGAAGAAGAAGAAGAAGAAGAAGAATTTTATAAGATACATCAACAAATTGCAGCTTCCTGCAATAACACCAGTGGAACTGCAAAAAACTGCGCTACTTGGAACATCGTACATCTTAAGAAGGTACTTGATTGATACCTAGGATGCTGGCAGCAACCCGTATCAACCATTAGCACCAGTCAATGGTATTTGTGATGCATTTTTGAATGTTCAGTTGACTGAGTTTCGTGTTTAATGAATAAAGTAAATAATAATAATATTTACTTATCAATTTTAACAAATCTCCCTTATAACATTAGTTCTTTTCTTATATTTCCATGTTTCTAACTTCTGTTTTTATTAGCTAACCATTGATAAAATAAGTCCCATGTCAAAAAGTATTCAGGTTCTTCCTTTCCCTTAATTGTAAGTCTTAATCTATCCATTTCTGCATATTCTAATATTTTTTAAATTGCATTTTCCTCTGTAGGGATCTCTTCATTTTTCCATTGTTGTGCAAATACAATTCTAGCTGCAAGTTAGCACACGTAAAATCAAATATGTAGTCCTTTTATCATACTTTTCCAATAAAATGCCCAACAAAAATATTTCTGGTTTTAGATCTATATGTTGCTTTATCATTTTTTCAAACCATGTGTGTATTTTCGTGCAATATTTTTTTGCCTTTGGGCATGTCCACCACATATGATAGTACGAACCAGCATTTCCAACACTTCGCGGACATGTCCTTAAACATCTTTGCCAACCTTGTTGATGAAAAATGCCATCTATAAAGTATTTTATATAAATTTTCTTTATATGCCATTGACATTGTTAATTTATAATTCCTATCCCACAATTTCTGCCATTTATCCAGTTAGGCAACATCGTTTCTGATGATGTTACCTTGCTGGGTAATGAATTGTCTGCAAAGAAAACCACCAAGCTTCAGAGAGGCTCCCACAGTTCATCCCTGAGCTACAAATATTCTTTTCTATTGGTAACAGGACATTACATTTCAATCAATATAGCTTTTTGCAAAAAATTAAAATCTCGGGTGTTTTCCCGCATCATTATAAATAAGTTGGTTAAAATATTTAAAATCCTGGTTAAAATCCCAGCTTAAAATCTTCTAAAATTCCTTACAGAGCACTCTGCAAGGTCCTTTAAAACCTCAGCTAAAATCCTACCAGTGACTTAAAAAGTTTTTCTTATAGTAAGGTGACCAGACGTCCCGCTTTTGGCGGGACAGTCCCGCTTTTTAGCAATTTGTCCCGCGTCCCGCGGCGTTTCAAAAAAGTCCCGATTTTTCATTCTGCCTCCTCAGTCCCGCTGCCTCTTGAGCCCCAGCTGATGGCTAGAAGAAAAAAAAACTGTTTAAACTCTTGCCCGGGGCTTCAAAGGGCCGCCCTACAGGCAATCAGTGTAAAGAGTTCCTGAAGCAGTTTTTTTTTCCCCTAGCTAAGCTGCAGAAACGAAACCGAAACCAGGATCTTTGGTGGAACGTGACAAAATGAGGCAGAGAGAGATTTATTTTTATTTTTCCTCCCCAAAAAAGGTAGGTGAAAAACTGCAAACAATGGGAAATTTAGGAGAAGAGTTCAAGATTTTAAAACACAAAAGAAAAAAAAGCTGTATTTAACTAGGGAATTGTAATAATTGAATTGAGATACTATTAATTGTATATTGTGTTGAAAGCAGAAATGTTTAAGTTGTGGTTCAGAGGAATATATGGGGGAAATTATTTGGTTTATTATTATTGGTAAATATAATTAATTGATTTGTAAGAAATTGGATTGCATGGAAATAATTGGAATATTCATGTTCATATTGATTAATATACAAAAAAGATAGTTTTATAACTAATTGATTTATATTAAAATGTTGAATTTGTATTAAACAACTGTATTACATAATTACATAATTAAACAATGTGAGGATGGATATAAAAATAGATGACAATGGAAAGGGGTATAATATAGAATAGAAGGGAAAAATTGAATTTGATTAAGATTAGAGATGAGGATGAAGGGTATATTGGTTTTTTAAAAAAAATAGATGAGGAATAAATATGGCAAAAAGGAAATATAGAAATTGTAAATTTAATTGAAGTGACTAAACACTGTTTAAATTTGTGAACCGGCCAAATACTCTGTTCAAAGAAAATAAATTGTATGTTTGTATGTGTGTTTCTAATTACTGCTATTTATTCATATTTGTTCTCTTTTATTCTTTAAAGTTTAACCATTCATTCTTTATCTTAATATCTTTATATTTGTTTGGGGTTGGCTTTCTTCCCTTTCATCTTTTTTATTGTACAGCAATCTTTCTCCTCAAACCTACCACCTCTCTCTTTTCTTTCCTTCTTACTTTCTCTTCCCCCACTCTTCTTCTCCTCCCTACTTCCTCTTCCTTTCTCCTTCTCCTCTCTTCCTCCCCCTCTTACCCTCACTCCTACTCTAATTTCCCTTCCCTTCCTTCATCCCTCTCTATTGCTGTATCCTTTTATGCATATGGACTACTCAGAGGGCTGAAAAAGTTATTTTTGACTGGTCCTCGCACTTTTGACCAGTCATCGAACTAACGACTGTCTTCACATTTTATGTTTTTTGCCCTATCTTATCACCATGGTGAAGAGAAGCAGTTGTGAAATGAGTGACATGGTTGTTAAGGATGCTGCATGGGCATAAATGTGAGGATGGTCATAAGTGTGAGGACCAGTCAAAAGTGCGAGGACCTGTCAGAAATGACTTTTTTCAGCCCTCTGGTTAGTCCTTTTGTGCATATGGACTACTCAGAGGGCTGAAAAAGTTATTTTTGATTGATCCTCGCACTTTTGTCCAGTCCTCAAACTTACGACTGTCCTCACATTTTACATTTTTGCCCTATCTTGTCATCATGGTGAAGAGAAGCAGTTGTGAAATGAGTGACATGGTTGTTAAGAATGCTGCACGGGCATAAATGTGAGGATGGTCATAAGTGTGAGGACCAGTCAAAAGTGCGAGGACCTGTCAGAAATGATTTTTTCAGCCCTCTGGTTAGTCCTTTTGTGCATATGGACTACTCAGAGGGCTGAAAAAGTTATTTTTGACTGGTCCTCACACTTTTGTCCAGTCCTCGAACTTACGACTGTCCTCACATTTTACGTTTTTGCCCTATCTTGTCACCATGGTGAAGAGAAGCAGTTGTGAAATGAGTGACATGGTTGTTAAGAATACTGCACGGGCATAAATGTGAGGATGGTCATAAGTGTGAGGACCAGTCAAAAGTGTGAGGACCTGTCAGAAATGACTTTTCAGCCCTCTGAGTAGTCCCTATACACATAGCCATGGCCACCCGGTCACATGACCAGCTAGCCACGCCCACCCAGTCACATGGCCTCCAAGCCACACCCACACAATAAGTCACGCCCACAATGGTGTCCTTCTTACCAATGTTAAAATCTGTTCACCTTACCCTATACACATAGCCATGGCCACCCGGTCACATGACCAGCTAGCCACGCCCACCCGGTCACATGACCAGCTAGCCACGCCCACAAAATAAGCCACGCCCACAATGTCCCTCTTTACCAATGTTAAAATCTGGTCACCTTATCTTATAGCAACATTTCGACAGGCTCACAACCCTGTCATCTTCAGGTTCTGTTTCATTTAGAAGCTATGGGTTCCCTGTTGCAAGGTCGGAGCTGTTGCTTATCTATATTTACTGTTGCTGACGTATGCTGGCTAGCCTGCAACTCTGTGTCCCGATTGGAGGACAGCAGTTTTTCTTCCTGCTTCCTCATCCTAGCTGCTTGGCTAGGCTTTTAAAGTCACTGGTAGGATTTTAGCTGAGGTTTTAAAGGACCTTGCAGAGTGCTCTGTAAGGATTTTTAGAAGATTTTAAGATGGGATTTTAACCAGGATTTTAAATATTTTAACCAACTTATTTACAATGACGCGGGAAAACACCTGAGATTTTAATTTTTTGCATATGCACACCCGCAAAAACTTAAGAAGACAAATATACATACATACATACATATATGCAGAATTGAATAAATGGCACATGGGAAAGACTCCTTCTTGCCACAATCATGGAGCAACATTAAAACGCAAATGTAAAATGATTTCTTAAAAAAAAAAGGTTTCACTCACTTGGCACCATAAGCAAATATTGTAAGTCCAATCAGAACTCCTATACTTCCATCCAGGTACCAAACAGAAGCATTGTGCTTAAAAACCTCTGCACTCAGGAGGATGGAAAAGCCCATAATTCCTCCTACCAGAGAGTTGAAACCTACAATGAAATAAATTAAGATTAGGCCCTTCTAGCAAGAACAGGGAAGTCAAGAAATAGCCAATGTCAATGGATGCAAGATTTGTATACTGTTATGCCTGAGCTCAGGACCCCAGTGCCCGCTAGCAGAATTACAACTCCCCAAAGCTTTAAAATGTAGCCCGTGACTAACTAAAGCTCACTTCAGAGAGGGTTTTTTACAGCTCAAAAAACCTAATCCAACATATCATAAATCTTTGTTGTCTCAATTCACACACTGAGTTTCCTATTAACCCTTTAACTGTCCTCATCCTTTGCAACTGCTGCCTTAATACGGCCATCCATGCAAGGCTATGGAATTGGAAGTCTTGTTTTTTAAATAGCCAGTTGCACCCCAACATTAGACAAAACAATTTATTTCATCAGTGCTGCTGCACTAGAGTTGAGTTCTGGGTCTTTAAGGCAGGGCAGTGTCAAATTCTGTGGACTGCATTTGAATTCATACCGACCATCTGTTTTCTAGAAGCTGGAGCCGTAACTTCACTAACTCTGCAGTAGATCCAATCCTGCAGGGACAACATGACAGCTATGCAAATATGGCAGAGGAGGAAAATGAAGCTTGCTGCCAAGGAAAGTCTATTCAGTTTTGTAAAACAAACAAACAGCACATTCATGCTGGCTGTAGATGGGGGTTAGAAAACACACAGCCCCAACAGCAGAAACATGGTGCCGCAAGAAGGAAAGGCTAGCAGGGTTTGAAATTTCACCAGTGTTTATAAAATAAATGCTTGAACTCATTACTGACAGAAAGGCTACTGACAACCCAAAGGTTGTTCTTTTGTGATTTTCTTTAATCAATTTTCTTTCTTCCACCTTCCAATGTTCTAGTTTACTTTATTGATTAGCACTTGGGCCATATCAAAGTGCAGAGTTCCAGACATAAATTATTACTAAAATCTGATGAAAACAATTTAAAATCTTCCAATAAACCTCCATCCCATTTCTACAAGATGCTCCCAATTCACCCCATCCCACAATCAAATATAATATAGAATAGAATAGAATAGAATAGAATAGAATAGAATAGAATAGAATAGAACAGGTTGGAAAGGACCTTAGAGGTCTTCTAGTCCAACCCCCTGCTTAGGCAGGAAACCCTATACCAGTGGTCCCCAACCCCCGGTCCGCGGACCGGTGCCGGGCCGTGGAGTACCTGGCACCGGGCCACGCAGCGGCCGGGGGACATGAACGCTGCAGCGCAAAGGCTCCTGGGCCGTGCGCAATGGGCCGTGCGCAAAAGCTCCTGGGCCGTGCCCCCACCCCTGCGCGCGCTCAGCGGGCCGCGGCGATAAAAAGGTTGGGGACCACTGCCCTATACCATATTTCAGACAAATGGTTATCCAATCTCTTTTTAAAAACTTCCAGTGTTGGAATGTTCACAATTTCTGAAGGCAAGTAATTCCACTAATCATTCTAACTGTTAGGAAATTTCTCCTTAGTTCTAGGTTGCTTCTCTCCTTGATTAGTTTCCACCCATTGGTTTTTGTCCTGCCCTCAGGAGCTTTGGAGAGTAGCTTGACTCCCTCTTCTTTATGGCAGCCCCTGAGATATTGGAATACTGCTATCAAGTCAGTATTCCAAGTCCTTCTTTTCATCAAACTAGACCTACCCAATTCCAGCAACCGTTCTTTATATGTTTTAACCTCTGGTCCCCTAATCATCTTTGCTGCTCTTCTCTGCAGCATCTCAACATCTTTTTTGCATCATGGCGACCAAAACTGGATGCAGTATTCCAAGTTGGCCTTACCGAAGCATTATTAACACTTCATGTGATCTTGATTCTATCCCTCTGCAGCCTAGAACTGTTAAATTAGTCAGTTCTCACTCACAGCAATTCAGGCTCAAACAACACATACAAGGTTTAACCAGTAGGACAGAGGGCCCTGTATGGCGCAAAAGGGAACAAATGGGCACATTGACTATACAACGATTGGGGGGAGGAGAAAGGAGAGAGAAAGAGAGAAGGAGAAGGGGGGGAGGTTTTAATTTGTGCTTTTGGATTATCAAGAGACCAGAGGGATTCTCCAATGGTGATAATTGCTCCCAAGAGCTCCAACAGAGTTCATGAGGAATTCCATACTCCATGAATCCCCCATTGGAGTTGTGAATGCTAGGCAGTGACTAATAACAACAGAATTCTCAAAAAATAAAACTGAAAATAATTGTCATATTTCAGCTCTGTTCTTCAACTTCTGGCCATAAGATGTCAGCCTGATCACATCTCTCCCCCACATCCATAAATCCAGATTAGCCACAATCTGATATTTATTTTTTATTAAATTTAAACACCACCCACCTCACTGCCTAAGTGACTCTGTTATATGCATGATTAATTCCTTTGGCACTCCCAGGTATCACCTCTCCCCACTATGACAGTCTCTCTGTCTGTCTGTCTCTCTCTCTCTCTCTCTCTTACACACACACACACACACACACACACACACACCCCTCACTCCTGCCGTTTGGTTTAAGACAAGTGATTACAATAAAAATCCTCTAAAATTAGCAACATTCCCTCTATTGGCCCCACCTTCAGTGTTAACATATTCAGAAGTGCTCTTCTGCAGCATGTCCAAATAGGTTGTCTATCTCATCAATATCCCCCCCATGTTAATTAGGCTTACTGACAAGCTTAATTGACATGTTTAAAGGTCTTTGTGGACTTCACAGACATTTTAAATGCATTTCTCCAGAAGCAACTGAAAATGACAATTCTATAAAGACAGAATTAAAATCTTATTGGAACTAGTAGCATATCTCAGATAGACTGAGTGGCATATACATGGCGACTTTATATGTTATGACAATCATTCTGAGACCATCCCAACATCATCTTGAAATTATACATGTGCCATCTCAAACTTATATATGTGCCATCTATTTACAAACAACACAACTTCACAGCAATCAAAGTGAAAGCCATTTTTTCAACATGTCTACCAGTATGTAACACCAGCTGAGCTTGACTCGAAAGAGACTTTAAATTTAAATTAAGAATTTTGTACACAGAGATTACCCTATTTTTAATGTCTTGTAAGTGAGATCTTCATTTTCCAGAGATTCTATTCTATTCAAACTAATGATGCAAAATTAGAGAAATCTGGCCTTAGCTATATTTAACTAAAATAGGTTAAACACATAGACAGCAGACTAATTACACAGTTCACTCCTTAATTTTGTTAATGGGAAAAAATAGCAGCAGTGCAATTATCACAAGCATATAATTAAAAGAAGAAAGAGAACATTCTCAGCTATTTGCAAAAAAACAGAAGTCTGTTTGCTCTGAGCTCAGAAAATAGGGAGATGCTACAGTATTAGTAAAGGGTCTAACATGAATGTCAAGAGGGTTTATTTCTATTTACTAAATTAGATTTTTTCCATGTAGAACTGTGCTTAAAAACAACAGAATATTTGTCCCACTTCTATTCTTCTATATGTTTAAGGCGACTCTTATTAACCAGATCTGTAGTTTTTGCCAACAGCCAAATTAAATAAAAATTCACATCAGAAAAGAATTTTCTAATATTATATTATATATTTTGTAGTAATGCCTATCGGTTTAAAATCAGATAAATGAATGTTTGCGGCTGCCCATGTCCAACATGGCATCCATTTCAGAAACAGACTTTTCAGACCAAACCTACCGTATCACAGACTCTCTAAATTTCAACTCTGTCTCCAACACCATCTCTCACACTTAAATTTTGTTAATTGAGGGATAATCAAATTGATGAAAGCTCCTGCAGGATTAATAGTAATAAATCCATATTTATTGCAAAAACTTTTTGGGCTGAATCACTCTTTCAATCTGTTTATTTGATTATTTGTATTTATTTCACATTTCTGTACCACCATGTCCCAAAGAGGAACTCCCTTGGAAATTACCCGTGAGCCCTTTGTACATGAAATCTGTTGTGACCCAGCTCCCCAAACACGACAAATTTTCTGACATGAACTCAAAAGATTCCTTTATAAGGAATACCGGCAGCCCCAGCAAAAAGTTTCTCTCGCAGGCTAACAAGTCGGGCCAGAAGATGAATAGTTGTCTGCCACATCTATTAATCTCCGCCCCCTGCCTTTTATCCCCAGAGCTAGGGTGGGCCTTCACTAGCAGCAGTGGCTCTTCCTTCCCCAGGATTGGCCCACAGCTTTCCACTGTATTCCTCTACCTTCTGCCGCGTGTCAGGCACTGGACCCAGATGATTCTCCTCTTCTTCATCAGCCACCTCCAGACCTGGGGGCTGTTGACTCTCCATCTGAGGGCTGAGGAATGGCCCAGGCTCCACCTCTGTCTCTCTTTGCCAGCTCCATTCCCTCTCCCCCCTCAGAGCTCTCAGGTTGTCCTAATGCTGATCCTGATTCCCATGTCTCCTCCTCCTCCTCTGATTTGGCTGCTGGAGGGGCCGGTGGCCAACAGGCCACAACAAATCAGAATGCCAATTATAAGCCTAAATAGCTTGGCGTTGAGATATTTGAAAAGCCAAGACCCATTAGTCAACCTGTCCATAATTTATTTAAAAGCATCAGAGCCTCTGGCATTGTCTACCAAATAGAAAGTCCCGTTTAGAAAATATTCAGACAGAGCATTTTTAATAGCAAAACCATGACTCTAGAACACAGGTGTCAAACTTAGTGTGTCACGTTGCCGTCATGTGACATTTCATGACATTTTACCCCTTCGTGGATCTGGGGTGGGCGTGGCCTCTGGCCCGGAGCCACCAGTTTCACATCCCTGCTCTAGAATAGTCTCAAGGTAAGACTGGCTCCTTCACTGGTCAGTTTTTAACATGCAATAAAGACAGAGTTGGATTTTTAATATCACTCTCTAAATTCTAATGCTAATTCTCAAGTGTTATTTTGTTTTCTGATCAGCCTTAATTTATATTTCATTATACTTTGCGCCAGATGAGTGGTAGAGCAGGGATAAGATTTATACATATAATTAAGTAAGAAGACATGTTCTTCTTGTATAATATGCTGGAAACCATCAGGGAGCCAGAAAAATAGAAAAAGTATCAATTGAATAGATATTACTTCCCTAAAGGCGTCAGAAAAGACTTGAATTCATGTCTCTGGAAACCTGCCCTAAATTCATTAGCAGCAAAAGCTTCACAGATTTGACAGGGTTAGACCAGATTTACTGTGGAACACCAGAATCAAGCCTTCTATAGACAACAGTCTCAACTTTCTAATCATAGAACTTTCTTCCTGAACCGTGGTGGCGCAGTGGTTAGAATGCAGTACTGCAGGCTACTTCTGCTCATCACCAGCTGTCAGCAGTTTGGCAGATCGAATCTCACCAGACTCAAGGTTGACTCAGCCTTTCATCCTTCCGAGGTCAGTAAAATGAGGACTCAGATTGTTGGGGGCAATATGCTGACTCTGTAAACCGCTTAGAGAAGTCTGTAAAGCACTATGAAACAGTATATAAATCTAAGTGCTATTGCTATTGCTATTGCTATTCCTGCCATTTCAATCTATGAACTATTGGCCATTCTTGCCTGGCCTTGCAAATAGGAGACATTTTTTGTAAGTTGACATAAAGTAAATTCCAACTAAAGCGTCCTAACATAAGGTCACCTTAGGTTATGGAGAAGGAGATGGATTACAAATACTGCAAAATGTCCAGTTGGGCGATTATCATATAAAGCTGCAAGAGTTTTTCCTTCAAGCAACATATACATTTATTAATTAAATAAATAGTGAAAGGAATAAAGAGCACAGAGCTGGTCAATATGTCACAGATTTTCTCATACCCAAGTAAAGTGAGATCCTGTAAAATTTGAATCAATAAGATTCTAATTTTATAATCTTATAATTGAATCAATACAATTCTAATCTTCCAATAAGATTCTTAGAATCAATAAGATTCTAATTTCCAAGAGTCTCAGGACTGATGTCAAATAAGGGGGGCCAGAGTTTTCTGGATTCAGGATAGTACAGAACATGGTCATCTGATAGGAAGCATTCTGATTTGCATATCTGTTAGATAATTGAGTGAAGATGCCCATAGTGCCACAGATGTATTTTTCAGTTCTGTGATCTAACAGTAGTGATTAAATATTGATGCTCAACTTGGGTATGTCTGAGGAACTTCAAGCTTCACCCTGCTATCTGCCCAAATATCAGTAAATATCTGAATCTCTATACATCAGGATTGGTAACCTAAAAATGTAATTGATACAACAGCCCTGTGAGATAATGGCTGTGCCAACTGAATTAAATTATTTTGAAATTTATTTCTAAACAACTTGCTTGTGTGTTAAAATTTGTTATTGGGTTACAACTTGTTTCACAGATTAACTTTCCAATGCCTTGGCTCCTGAAGAATGTTTTCATTTTCATTTGGAGTAGGAAACTTACTGGACCCTTCATAAATATGATTACTCTTGCCCATATCATTTGGGAATTCTCTTTATGCATTCAGCTATGCTACTACCTGGTGAAAGACCACACATTGTAAAAAAAAATTTTTTTAAATGCCTACAATATGGACTTGCTTTGTACATGCCTGAGAGACACAGTAAAGTAAAATTATCCCTGTTAACCTCAGATGTAAGTCTCACTGAGTTCAAAGGTTGTTTCTCTCAGATGAGATCCTTAAAAATAGGATTCTACCTTAATTTGTCATGCAAAAAAACCACATCTTTTTATTTTTCACAAGAGATACATCAGTTGATGCTTCTTTCAAAAATTTGCAGAGGAAAAAAGATAATGTCTCCAGAATTAAAATTCCCAGTGAGAGCTATTAGTCACTGTTGCTGAGAAACACAATAAATGATGTTGGCAACATGGAGAAAATTCCATGATCCTTATAAAATCATAGATGCAGTATTATTTTTGAAGAATTGTTCTATTTCTACTGTTACTAATTTTATTTATTTATTTATAAAAGTTATAGGCCATCAATTGAAATAGTAAAACACAGATTTCTGACAATCCAATCACTGCACACATTAACATGATTTAAGAGTGATACAATCTACACAGTATTCCTGAAGTCTGAAAAACAGCAATAAGCAAAAGACAAACAGCAATTCCAGGCAAAATGCAGGTGGACAATTATTATTGAATCTAATAAAATGTAGATGCTTAGGGTTTGTTTTTGTTTTTTTTAAATGTCTACATTCTGGCCAAATGTTGGGTGTGAAAAAGTATTTTCGATTCCTACAATAAATTTTGGTACATTGTTTTCATTTGATTGAATGACTCATTGAAACATTTTATCTGGCTATTTCGCTTCAAAGCTTATTTTTCCCTCTATTTACTTATTTAGACAAATTTAGTGGCTTTAATCATGATCATAATTTCAGAGCAACAAGCAATAGGATCAGGGAATCCCTGGATTATTTCTGTGTATGTTTGTTTCTAAATTCATTAATTTTTTGAACAGGTTAGAGAACAAAGGGCTCAGTGAACTCAAAAAAGTTAACCAAATCTGTTATACATTCATTAATCAAGTCTCCTCTCTGTAATTTCATCCAATCACACAGAACCTTCACTTATCTCTACTTCACTAGCCTTTGATTTAATAATATCAAGAAAGAGATACCTGTTTGCTACTTACCATCTGTTAACAATGCTCTGCTTGTAAGCACCTTCCCCAACATAAATTTGATCACTGCTAAAGTAGTACAAAGGATTCCACTTAAAATTGAAACACTGTATAGAAAGTCATCCTGAAAAAGAAAAGGGAAACATTCTATACCATTTTGCCACATAATTCATTTAAAGATAGAATAGTTCTGAATCAAAGTTTGCTAAGATTGGCTGATTGGTTTTATAACATATATAAACTGCCCCATTCTGGGCAGACCTCGGTAGGATACAAAGATAAAATAAAAATGGAAAACAATTACAAACAATTAACAGCAAATGCCCAAGCACTAGGTGTCCTTAGAATACTTCGTCTAATTTAAAGCCCAAATGTATGCTAGGGAAAAAAACCTGCTTTGGTTTCTTTACAAGACCCCAGCAGAGTCAGAACTGTTGATACCCAGACTCACTTGTTAAATAGGCTGCTTTACAAACTGAATGAATGAATCTGTTTTGAAAGTAATAACAGCCCAGCATTAGGGCAAGAATTATGTCCTCTCCAAAGAGGCATTGATAATGGTTGTAGCGGTCATGATAGGTGGCAAAAAGAATTACACTGCAAAATTGGAAAAATTGTGTTGCTCTAAAGATTGATGTTTGAAAATGGGCAATTTATCCTTCTGAAAAAGGCAGTATTTCCAACTAATCAAATTATGAAGTAATATGTCCTTCTTTAGCATAGATTTTATGATATGTTACAATGATACAGAAGTATTATTAGGTGATTTCTTTCTAAATTTTTGTTTTTCATGATAATATAGTACTGCAAGTATTTTTTGTAAAGCAGTGGCATTTAAGACATTATCTTAGATTTTTAGTATAGAAACTAATTACGTTTTGTTATTCTTTGAACAGTCTTTTTTTCTGTTTCATTTGTTTTAGTTTTAAATCAGGGGCTAGCATTCTTTCTTAATTATTATTTAGTACTGTGTGATTTTTCCCCCCATGAGTTACCTTTGTATTTTATTTATTTTTTGTAAACTTCTAAAAAAAGAATAAAGATTAATAATATAAAACAAAAATAACTTTTAAGATAAACTAGCGTAAAGTAGGAGAATGCTATAATTTTTAGCAGCTGTTTGAAAGGAAACACCCAATCTCCCTGGAAAGTGAGACGCCTTGTTTTTTACTACCTTCCTAGGTGGTGCCACACACACAACCAAGCTAGCTTGATAAAGACTTGACCTCAGGCAAGGGAGAAGGGGGAGGAGAGAGATGGTCGTTCAGATGAATATTTCAATAGAACACATCTCTGTGCCTCTGGAGGAAGCAAGAAAATTGATCTTTGCCTATACCCGTCCCTACACTCTCACACACAGAAATAATTCATATTCAGAGCCAGCAGTTGCAGCAAAACAGATCTGAGATCTTGGACACTGTAGAGAGCAGCAGATCCAAGCCTCAAAAACTGGGAAGAAAGAATTGGTTCCCTATCACTTCCTTTCTACCAGCCAGACAACAAGATGTCAGGGCTTTAGCCACTTTGGAACAGAAGGCTATGGAAAATGGGGGAGAGAAGCATTTTGTGCCAAATCACACACCCGACAGCTGTCTAAATTTATGTTATCCTACTAATTCCATCTAATGCAAAGGTACTCTGATTTTTCCATCAATTGCGTTTAAAAAAATACTGCTACACAACCCTTTCATGTTTGGTGATCAAAATATTATTACCAATTTGCAGCTTTGTGAAGTGCAAACCAAGGATTGAACAAAGAAAAGGAAGAAAAGAGAACATAAAAAGGAGAATTCAGGTTTCTGGCACAAAGGCTGTCAAACAAATGCACACACACACACACACCAGAATGTGTTCAATGAACTATTATTAACACTTCTGCATCAGAGCTGCTGACTGCAACACCTGCTTGCTTTTCCTAACTCTCTCTGCAAATATCTCACAGGTATTTCACACACACACCAAAATTAAACCGGTCCTCTTTCTATTCCACTTTGGAAAATGAGCAGACTGTGACTGAGTACAATTAAGGTCATGAAGTTCTGGAGAGTTTAAAGGCACCTCTCATCCAAAGATTTGATAACAGTCAAAGGGTCCAATGCAGGAATGAGAATATAGTGATTGTGGATCTCTCCACAATCTCTTGGAAACAGTACAAGAGCCCGAGGAGTGAATTTTTGAAATTAATTCACCTTCCAAAAATGATGAGACATACTTTAATACAGTGGTAAATGAATAAAATAATCCTAGCCATCTGCTGCCATATCCCTCAGGACCTTTCCTCTCTGGTGCCACATATCTTCTTGATATTGCTTCTGAAAATCATTAAACAGGGCAACAAATCCATCGACTCGTATTGTTCATTGCTTTACTAGACTATTTTAATTAGAACAGCAGTGCTGAATTACAACCAGAGGATTAACATTTAAACACTACCATAATGAGAAAAATCATTTTTATTTAAAATGAAGTTATTAACATTTTATATTTAAATAATATATAAATTTTATATATGCGCGTGTCTATGATGTATATTTCTTTAAATACTTACATGTAAATATGCCTTTATTAGCCCTACTGTTTATTTGCATCAATGCATCGACTTTGAATATCATTCAGCATCAAATCAATATAAAGATAGTCCTTAACTTATGATTGTTTGTTTAATGACAGTTTGAAGTTACAACGGTCTTGCAAAAACTGAAATTACAACCATCGTACCACCCCCTACAAACAAGGGGCAAAGTGCTTGGATTGTGATTGTTGCAGCATCTTGTGGTCATGTGATCACTATTGGCAACCCTCCCAGTTAGCTTCTGACTAGCAAAGTCAATTATGGAAGCCAAATTTGCTTAACAACCATTTAATAACCACGAGGGAGAGAAGACTTACGAATTCTGGGGCTAAAAAACACAAAGTTCCTGGAGCACCTGAAGATTTAAGTTTAAACCTTTACAAAGGATTGCCTTGGAAGTTAGGTTAACCTAATATGTATTGACTGATATGTTTATTTCTACCCCACCTTTATTACAGATAGTCCTTGAGATTCAACAGTTCGCTTAACGAACATTCAAAGTTACAATAGATGCCGAAAAAGATATATGACCCTGTTTCAAAATTATAATGGCTACAGCACCTGTGGTCATTCACCTTTATGACTGATCACAGAATTGCTGCAGCATCCTCCCCCCATCCCACCCATCCAGAACCCACCGCACTTACCTTCTGAAGCTCTCCGGACCTTGTATTGGGGAAGAAGGGCAGGCCAGACAAACTGCTTCATTTTGCTGCCTTAACAAGGTCTGCATAGCACTGCAGAAGCTTCTGAATGCCGCAGAAATATTTTGCAGCACTGTGCAAATCACGTTAAAGCAGCAAAATGGATTGCTTTATTACCTATGCAATGAAGCAATCCATTCCAGCCCTCTGGAAAGCCTTGGACCACTTCAAAAGGTCAAAGAGGAGGAAGGTGTTTGGCTAGGGTGGGTGGGTGGGAATCAGGCCCAAGGCCTGGAAGGACTCCCTGGGAGTGAGAAAAGGCCTCTTGGGACCCAAGGCGTGGGAAATAGAGCATGGGGCAACTCGGGGGGGTGGGGGAGGCCTTGGGAGGGCCAGGGTAGGTGGACGTGGACCTGTACTAGGCCTCCAAGGAGTAACTCCTCTTCTTACTGGGATGGGAAGTTAGCTGAGCTGCTTCACATAATGACTGTTGCTACATTCAACTGTAATGAGCAGGCTCCATTACAGTTATATGTCAATGTTATATTTTTATAAATAACTCAAGGCAAAGAATATACCTAATCCTTCTTCCGCCTTCTATTTTCCCCATAACAACAACAAGAAGGAAGATTGGGCTGAAATTGAGTGACTGGCCCAAAGTCACCCAGCACAAAGTTTCTTGCCTAAGGTGGGACTAAAACTCGCCATGTCCTGTTTTCTAGCCTGGTGCCTTAACCATTTAGAGCAAGCTGGCTTTCCAGTTGATTTCTACCAGATAGAAGTGATTAATTTATTTTATTTTATTTTTATTTTATTTTGAATTTATATACCGCACCTTCTCCCGAGGGACTCAGGGCGGTGTACAGCCAGATAAAAACATACAATACAAACATTAAAAACAATTAAAAGAGTATATATTAATTTGGCCCCAGTTTAAAATGACAAACCAATTAAAAATATTTAAAAATATGATGATTTGTTTTTGTTTTCAAAAATGTAAATATTTCTGTTATATTTAACTTACTTTTTCTTTTCATTGTAAACCTCGAAAAAGGCTGCATTTGTTTTTAACAATGGCTAGAAAAGCACTCGTGGATATTCCATGGTTTGCTAGACTTGCTAAACCAAGTGACCCAAAAAGGAAAAAAATGGTTTTGTAAGCAGATTTTACATTCTATTTTTTCATAAACTCTCACAGATTCTGGTTGCAAGGAAGACTCCATATGGTACGGATGTACAATTTTGGCTTGCAGCACAAGTCGGCTAAATATGCAGCTGGGATAAATAGAAAGATATAAGTGGAGCCAAGGCAAAAATTAAAGCTGGTTTAATTGATAACAGAATTAAATTATATAATAGCAATGTTCATTTATCTGTTGTGCCATAAATGTATTGTTTTTCATTAAGGCTTTTTAGGTACAGAAGCAGAATAAAATTATTTTAAATATTTTTACTAAATTATTATTATTCTTAAAACGCATCTTCTATTGAAAAAAATGGAAAACAAAATGTATGAATATTTATATTTAAGTGGATAGAAAGAGAGATAGAGAGAAAGGCAAAATGTGATTGCAAGAACAAAGGCAATAGTATAAAATAATATTCTATTTGTGATCGGAAAATATTAAATATCAGTAGGAAGCCTTGCTTCAATAATTACTTTTCTTCCAATAGACCGTATTTTGCAACCATGCTTAATTCTTACAAGCGTATCTCTAGGGAGTTGCCTTCTATGTTATCTCTCTCTGTGTTTGTGTGTTTAGCCTATGGATATTTTCCGTTTATATACAATAATGCTATTTTTGGCTACTTCATCATCATTACAAGCTTTCTGCCACGATACTTTAAATTTTAGGGAAAATCAATCACCTTTCAACAAAAGTAAAGACAAAAATTCCCTGATCAGAC